TGGATGCAGATCTTCTTTAAATGTCTGATAGAATTCTGCTGTAAATCCATCTGGTCCTGGGCTTTTTTTAGTTGGGAGGTTTTGTGTTACTGTTTCAATTTCCTTATGTGTTATGGGTCTGTTTAAGCTGTTAGTCTCATCTTGGTTTAGTTTTGGTTGTTCCCATGGTTTTAGGTACCACCCGTTTCTTTCAGGTTTTCAAATTTAGTAGCATATAAGTTTTTAAAGTAGTCCCTTGTAATGTTCTGGATCTTTTTGGTATCTGTTGTGGTGTTTCACCCTTCATTGTTCCCATGGTTTTAGGTACCACCCGTTTCTTTCAGGTTTTCAAATTTAGTAGCATATAAGTTTTTAAAGTAGTCCCTTGTAATGTTCTGGATCTTTTTGGTATCTGTTGTGGTGTTTCACCCTTCATCTCTGATTTTGTTGATTTGGAGGTGCTCTTTCTTTCTTTTGGATAACTGGGCTAGTGGTCTACCAGTCTTGTTTATCTTCTCAAATAGCCAGCTCTTGGATTCATTGATTCTTTGTATTGTTTTCTTTGTTTCTGTTTCATTAATTTCTGCTCTGGTTTTTGTTATTTCTTCTTGTCTCCTGGGTTTGGGTTTCATTTGTTGTTGCTTTTCAAGTGTCTTGAGTTGCAATGTTAATTCATTTATTTGTGTTCTTTCCGATTTTTGTTTTTCTGTAGGCACTTAGAGGTATAAACTCCCCTCTAAGGACTGCTTTCAATGTGTCCCATAGGTTGTGTTGTGTTGTATTGTCCTTTTCATTTAGTTTCAGGAATACTTTTATTTCTTAATTTCTCCTTTGACCCATTCATCATTCAGGAGTGTGTTTTTTAACCTCCCTGTGTTCATGTGGTTACTGTGGTTTCTTCTGGTGTTGATTTTAAGCTTTATTGCATTGTGATCTGATAGACTGCATGGAATTATTTCAGTCTTTTTATATTTTTTGAGGTTTGTTTTGTGCCCCAGCACGTGGTCGATTTTGGAGGCGGTTCCACTGGGGTGTTGAATAGAAAGTATATTCTTTGGTGCTTGGGTGGAATATTTGGTATATGTCTGTTAGGTCCATTTGGTATATGGTATTAATTCAGATGTCTCTCTGTTAATTCTCTGTCCTGTTGACCTATCTAATTGTGACAGTGGGGTGTTGAAGTCCCCCTACTATTAATGAGTTGGGATTAATCTGGGTCTTAGTTTAGTTTTAGTTTATTGTTCCTTTGATCAGAATGAAGTGGCCATCTTTGTCTCCTCTGATCAGTTTTAGTTTAAAGTCTGTTTTATCAGATATTAAAATTGTAATGCCTGCTTTTTTCTTAGTACCATTTGCTTGGTATTTTTTTTTTTTTCCATCCTTTCACCTTAGGGTAGTGCCTGTCCTTGAAAGTGAGATGAGTTTCTTGCAGACAACAAAAAGCTGGGTTTTGTTTCTTAATCCATTCAACTAGTCTGTATCTTTTGACTAGGGAGTTCAGTCCATTGATATTTAAAGTTATTAATGAAAGATGTGTATTGAATCCTGTTATTTTTATTTCTGTTCACATTCTTGATATATCTGTGCAGTTCCTCCACAGTTATACCTTCATTGAATTTCTTTCTACCACCCCTTGTATATAGTCGTCCTTTCTTCAGCTCTTTGTATGGCTTCAAGAACTCTTTGAAGGGCTGGTTTTGTGGACATGAATTCTTTCAGCCTTTTTATGTCATGGAAGATTTTTCTTTCCCCTTCAACTGTGATAGACATTTTGGCTGGGTATAGTAATCTGGGTTAGCATTTGTGGTCAGTTAGAACTGAGAATACTTTTGTCCAGGCTCTTCTGGCTTTCATAGTTTTCCCTGAAAAGTCAGCTGTAATCCTGATGGGTTTTCCTTTATATGTGACTTGTTTTTCTTTTGCAGCTTTCAGTATTGTCTTTTTGTTCTGAATGTTTAGTGTTTTTACTATGATGTGCCATGGGGAGTTTCTTTTCTGGTCCTGTCTATTTGGTGTTCCATATGCTTCTTGTATTTGTATGGGCATGTCTTTTTTTAGTTTGGGGAAATTTTCTTCTACATCCTGTTGAAGATCTGTTCCATACCATTATCTTCAGATTCTTCTCCTTCCTGTATGCCTGTGATTCATAAGTTTGGCTTTGTTATGGTGTCACACAATTCTTGGATATTCCATCCTTGTGTTTTCTTAAATTTTTCATAATCTTTGCTTGAGTGGTCTAATTCATCCACTTTATCTTCCAGTCTTGATATTCTGTTTTCCATTTCATTCATCCTATTGGTGAGGCTTTCTCCTGTCATTTCTAATTGGCTTCCTGAGTTTTTTCTTCCTTCTTCATTTCAGCCTTAGTATTCTTCAATATTTCTATTTTCTGAATTTGTTCAGAAGCTTATCCCTATCTTCCTTTAGTTCTTTTGATTTCTTTATGTGTTCTTTAAATTCACTGAATTATTTTATCATGTTTATAATTGTTCTTTTGAGTTCCATGTCCTGTGTTATCTCTAGGGAGTTCTCGTTGTACTCCTCTACAGGACTGTTGGTACTTGGTGGGGATATGTTATTTTGGTTTCTCATGTTATTATCTTTTCTCTGAGACTTTGACGTGTGGATTTCTTTCATAGTTCCTGTTTTTTGTGTGAAACTCAAGCCTTCCTTTGTTGAGTTTAGATCTGCCTGCCTTTTGTAAACTTTGTGGTTTACTTGTTGGGCATAAAAAGCTGGTTGGTCTAGGCTTCAGGTTCTCTCTTTTGATTTTATATTGGAGTGGCCTAATTGCTTTTGTCTTCAGGAGTTCCCACAGAGTCCCAAGTGAGCTGAGGCTCAGATGCTTTCAGGCTTTCTCCTAAGGTCTGGGTCCTTCCAGGAAATATGCTGCCCTCAGAAATCTGGGGGCTGGGCTGGCCTGGAAGTAGGGCCCAGGAAAGATTCTGGTCCTAGGAAGCTGGTGGCTGTGCCACCCAGGGAAGAAAAGGGAGGTGAGGGCAGGACCAGGCCCAGAGGGCTCTTGGGGACCAGGAAAGGTGCTGACACCAGGCCGCCCAGAGGCTGTGCAGCCCAGGGAAGTAAAGGGAGGTGAGGACAGGACCAGGCCTAGAGGGTTCCTGGGGACTGCAGGGAGGACCTGGGTTCGTCTGGGTACAAAGGATCAGGAAGCAGTGGTGGCTCTGGGCCGAGAGGTTAGCCCAGGTGTCTGGGGTGCCAAGATAAGAAATGGGACTGTACCCAGGCTAGGAGAGACATGGTGGGGGAGCTGGGAGGGTGAAAGAGGCTGGGGGAGTCAAGGCACAGTGGGCATGCTGGACTTACCTAGGGAAGGTGCTGGCACCAGGAAGGTGAAGGCTGTGCAGCCCAGGAAGCCAAGGGTAAGTTTTTTATATGCCAGTCATACCTCGGTATGACATTTTTTTTTTAAGACTAAATCCAGGCTGTCATTCCATTAGACAGGTGAGCCTCGGTATCTGGGGTATTAAATGTGAGTGTGACCTCACTGTTCCAAGTCAACCACTAGTTTCTTGGCAGAGAGGCTTCCTCTGTCAAGTGATTGACAAGAAGTAATCCTCTAGAAAAATCTTACGTGTTTGGTGCTCCTTGTAAGTGGAATTTTTCTTAGATTGCCTGTTTAAATGTAAGCATTGGTTTTGTAGTTATAGAAGCATCAAGTCTGTGTTTATTAGTTGGGTATCTTGTCTATAGTAACAGAATTAGATATATAAATATTAAACCTAGGAATCAATAATCTTGATAGGCACATGGTTAGCATGTGTTTTTGTGGTCTTTAAAATCCCCTATTTACTGCTTCCTCAGGATCAGCAGTCACTGGTTTTATAATCTCTTCCAGGATCCTTGTCTTTGCTGAGAATTTGCACTTGTATTCCAAAACTCAAGGATAGTACTTAAGCATTCTTAATACTGTTTACTTCACTTGGCCACTTTCTTGGAACTCAGTGTCCGGCAGGCAGACAAGTGTTAAGCAGTGCGAGATGTATGTAATTGTATGTAAGTGCCATCTATGCGTCAGCTTCCAACGTCATTCTCCTTAAGTAAAGTGCCTAACTGAACAGTTTTTCTTTTGACCTTGTAGGTGCTATAGGAAGCTCCTTATGGGGCCAGAGTAGCTTTTAAATTTAAGTAACTGGATAGAATAATTCCTTTTGGAATTTGTCATTGATACTGTAAGAATCCGTAACTGAATGATAATATTTGGGTCCATCCAGTTTAGCTTAATTACTTAAGCTAATTTTCCAAGCTTAAGTACTGATTTACAGTTTAGTTAATGCTTAATTCTCACCCTACTGCTGCTGCTTCTCTTCAATTTTTACATGGCAATTTTAAGTGGTAGTCTCAGGTTTATTCTCATTCTAGGTGCTCTTCACCTATTCTAGGTCCTGTAATCTAGTTGGTTAGAACAGCCACTAGCTGGTAATATGTTAATTTAGAAGTTTACTGCTAACAGACTGCATTGTTAACATCAAATCTCAATTAAGAAAAATCAAGATGTCTCAGGGAAAATAACACACACTTTCATCAAAACAGCCTGTTCAGGTGATATATACTTACAATGGGAAGTTCAGTACAGTATAGTATTTCCAGTAGTTGCTTGAATTAGCATATAGTGTTGAATCTTTAAAATGTTCCTTGGTTGTAACCTTTCAAGTTTGGTTTGGATCCTGAGCACAAGCTGCATATGCTTCAGCCACATGAAGAAAATAAGGGATTCCAGCTTGTATTCCATACCTTCAAGTTGAACATTGCCTTAAGATATTAACAAGTTTGTAGAGTCAGAACATTTTCTAGAAATACTGTGCTACTGCTAAATACAATGCCCTTGATAAAATTTCAAGTGGACTTGAATTACAGGCCCAGAGGAGGAAAAATAGGTTTGGAGTTCCAGGCTTTCTTTACAGATTTGGTAACTACTGTTATTAACAGTTAAGAAAATACACATTTTGGGGCTGGGAGATGGCTTAGCAGTTAAGAACACGGGCTGTTCTTGCAGAAGATCTTGGTTTGAGTCCGAGCACCCACATGGCACCTAACAACTGTCCATAACCCCAGTCCCAGGGGATCTGACAGTCTCTTCTGTCCTCCGTGGGCATTGCACGGCACGGGTGCAATTACTTACATGCAGGCAATACACACATACACATAAAAATAATAAATTTTTTTTTTATTTTTTTGGTCTTTTTGAAGCAGGGTCTCCCTGTAGCCCCAGCTGTCCTGGAACTCACCATGTAGACCAGGCTGCCCTTGAACTCACAGAGATCCGCCTGCCTCTGCCTCCCAAGTGCTGGGACTACAGGCGTGCGCCACCACATCCGGCTATAAAAATATTTTAAAAAAAAAAAAATACACATTTTTTAATCCCAGTACTCAGGAGGCAGAGGCAGGCGGGTCTCTGAGTTTGAAGCCAGCTAGGTCTACACAGCTAGGGCTACAGGGAGACCCTGTCTGGAAAGAAGAGTGGGGTGGGTGGGGGGCAATTATGTATTACTTCCAGTCCTCAGGAAGGAATAAAAAAATCACTTTATAAATGCCACGTGAGTTACCACCTTTGTTTAGACTGTGTTTACCTCAGCTGAATATTATTCATTACCAAAGGCTTTTTTCCTTTCACTCTTTAGGATCTTACTCAGTGTGTTACCTGCCAAGAAAAGCATATTACTGTAAAGAAGGAACCACATGAGTCCCTTGGAATGACAGTTGCTGGGGGCAGAGGGAGTAAGAGTGGTGAATTGCCCATCTTTGTGACCAGTGTGCCACCTCATGGCTGCCTTGCACGAGATGGCAGAATCAAGAGAGGTAAGATAGGGTCTTCGACAGTTCTACCACATCTTATCTCTGAATTAAAGTCACATCTTTAAAATAAAGAAGAGTTATTAAATTTCATATTAAACATGACTTTAAAACCCTTTAAGATGTCCCAGTATAGAAAACATGTTTTTCTGTAAGGTTAGGAAAATACTGAATATAAAGGAAAATTGACCTTAATGATAGTTCCAGAAATTGCAGTTACTCAGACAGCTTGCTTATTTTTATCTTGGAAAAGATCATCTAAGAGACTTATACATCCAGCATTATGTCAGATAATGCTAAAGGGCCATCTCACCAAAATACAATGTTGAGTATAATAAATTGTCTGGGGCCCATGAGATGGCTGAGCAGGTAAAAGCTCTTGCTGGCCAAACCTGATGACCATTTTTTTTAAGTTTATAGAAGGGCACTCAAGAAGAAGTAGGGCAGAAGACAAAAACTTAATTTTAGAGATAAACTTTACTATTTTACATTCACTATTTTTTAGAGATAAACTTAAGTTTTTCATTCCCTCTCAGTTCTTTTAATTTCCATAAGGGGTGAGTGTAATTAAACACCATGATAAAAAATAGTCTCCATTGACTTAGTTTGTTCATGTGGAAAGAACTGAAATGAAAAGCTATTTTTTTCCAACAATGAAGTTAGGCCCTTATACCTCAAAAAAATTAAATCATAATGAATCTTAAGACCTAAATGTAAAAGCAGAAATGCTGAAAAGAAAGCACAGGTGTGCTCATGACCTGTAGTTACACAGTAATATCTTAGATGACTCACAGAATGGGAGAAAAATATTTACAAATCGTGTGTGTGCATGTGTATAAAGAAATTACAAAGAACTCTTCCAACTCCATAAAAACCATAAATAACCTAATTTAAAGACAAACTGAATAGACATTTCTCCAAAGAAAATGATCACATGGAAAACTGCTCAACACGACTTGTTAGCAGAGAAATGGAAATCAAAGCCATCAGACTCGCACAGTCCTTCCAGGGTGACTATAACAGAAAAGATCGACACTAACAAATGTTGACAGGGCTGTAAACTTGAGGCCCTTGTATGTTTCTGGTAGGAATATAAAATAGTTTAACTGTTTTTAGAAAACAGTTCAATATTTTATGACAGTTAAGCCATATGACCCTGCAGTTCTTACACAGAAATGAACTTATGTTCACATAAAAGCCTGGACCACCACTGTTCCCAGAAGCCCAAGAGAGGAAACAACCCCGAGTGCTCCAGCTGATTGAGTAGATTGAAACAATGTGGCCTATCCATAGAATGAAATATTATTGGCCCAAAGACAGAATAAAGTACTGGTATAATCTTACGGGGATGGTCCTTCAAGACAATATGATAGGTGAAGAGGCAAGTCCATAGAGGCAGAAAGTAGATTTGCAGTCACTTAGGGTTGGGGGAAAGGGAGTGGCTGCTAATGGGGCAGAGTTTGAGGAGTGGTAGAAATGTTCTCAAAATCATAGTGGTTGTCAAACAACCCTCTCAATATAGTAAATCCTACAAAACTGGATGTTTTAAATAGATGAATGGTACATAAATTAAAGCTCAATAAGGCTTCTGTTTTTTTATATTACTTATCCAGTTGTGGAATTTGGTGAAATGTTAGTGCCTTCTTATCATTTTATTGTGTTTTCCATGAGAATCTGTTGCTTTGATAGTTTGAAAAATAAGTAATAAATTGGTAAAGGAAAATCCTTTAGCCATTGTAGCACAAATGTCTACTTCCAAAAATTTCCAACCTTTCTTAACCTTTATCCGTTAATAATCCTCATTACTCTTTCATTACATAGTTTTCCCCCCAGCAAGGGAAGATGTTCAAATCTTGTTTCATTTCATTGTGTGACCTGAGGATAACTTCTGGTGTGCCATCTAGGGAAGGAGACACTTGATACTCAGGCCACTCTTCTGGTTTCTCCAATGGCACAGGTGATGTGTTGCTGAATATCAATGGTATTGATCTGACCAATCTAAGTCACAGTGAGGCTGTGGCCATGCTGAAGGCCAGTGCTGCCTCCCCAGCCGTTGCCCTCAAAGCACTGGAAGTCCAGATTGTGGAAGAGGCAGTGCAGCCCTCGGAGGAGCAGCCAGGTGCTTTCAGTGAGAATGAGTATGATGCCAGCTGGTCACCATCCTGGGTCATGTGGCTTGGGCTGCCAAGGTATGAAGACTTCTTTATTGTCTTATAGGATAGTCATATTTTTAACCTTTATCAGTGTGTAGCACAGTTAACCTATCCAGTGGTGTAGAAGGGGCTTTAATTAGATAAAAGTGTATCAAATTATAAAAGGAAGTGATAAATTTTAGGGAGATTTAATAATAACAATTAACTAAGCTGAAATGATTTGTATCTGTTTATAAAAAAGCAGAAACCAGAGGCTGGGCATGGTGGCACACGCCTTTAATCCTAGCACTTGGGAGGCAGAGGCAGGCAGATCTCTGTGAGTTTGAGGCCAGCCTGATCTACATAGTGAGTTCCAGGCCAGCTGGGGCTACAGGGAGACCCTGTCTCAAAAAAAAAAAAAAAAATACTGCCACATAAAGAAAAGCAGCAGAATGTCATAGGTACTGGATTTCATTTCATTTGTTGGTAACCTAATTGCCGACTTGCTTCCATGGGGTAAAAAAAAAAAAATGCAAGGCCTAGAACTCATATCCCATAGGGACTGGATGGAGAGAGCTTTATGACTACAAAGATAACTATGTTAAGTATGTTTATTCAGTGCATCAAACTTTCTATTTTTGTTATTGAAAGGTAAACATAGATTTAAATGGTTATTGTAAACTGCTCTAGAGCTACTGTCTAAACTAGGGAACCGCATAGATCTCGTTCAGCTGATACCTGGGTGATCAGCATCATCCTAGAATGAATGGCAGAAGAGGATGAAAACGGGTTGCCTAGGCTATGCAGGCTTAGTGATCTGAGTGGAGCATCTGCCCCTCTGATGATGAAGCAGGTAGACCAGCAGCCTCCTGGAGAAATCCCTGGACCCTTGTATTTCTTTAATTGTCCTTGTCTATTATGCCAGTCTACTTTTGGGGCCCAAACACTTCTCACTTTTGTTCCTAGCATTTTATGATATACCAAGCATAGCAAGAAAGGATGGATGATGGATGGATGGATAGATGGATGGATGGATGGATGGATGGATGGATGGATGGGATTGGTATGTGGAGGCTGACACTGGGTGTCTTCCTTGGTCACTCTCCACCTTATTTTTTGAGACAGGCTAGCTAGGTTCATTGTCCCAGTGAGCTCCAGGGAATCTGCCTATACCCCAACCCCTCATCATCTTCCCTCTGTGGTTACAGATGTACACTATGCTGTGCCCACCTTTTTTTTGTTTTTTTAATTTAACATGGATTCTAGGATTCCAAAATCACATCCTCAAGCTTACTCTGTAAACAGTTTACCAACTAAGCCAACTCCGTAGCCCAAGAATGGTTTTAGATGAGAAATAGGCAGTATAGTAAAACATATTTGAGCCCACTATATATAAAGAATACCTGTCAATAAAAGGCCACTGTTATATGGGTTGTAGAGCCCAATGTCCCACTGTGTAGCACAGGTGGCCCTTGTAAACAGGCCTCATGTTGAGTAGGGCAGCAGCTCTGTTCCCTTAGAATGGGAGAGTTTTTCCCTGCATTTTTTTGCTGAGGGTACCAGAGAGTTGCCTGCTCATTATAAAAGATACAGAATAATTAAAATAATTGCACTATTCTTAACAGTCTAAGCCAATGGGCTGGAGAGATGGCTCAGCAGTTAAGAGCACTGACTGCTCTTACAGAGGACCTGGGTTAGATCCCCAGCATCCACAACAGCTAACAACCGTCCTAACTACAGTTCCAGGAGATCTGTACCATCTTCTGACCTTGGGCATTTCACAATACAGGTACACTTACATTCAGGCAATGCACTGATACATATAAACCAAAAATAATATTTTGAAAAAAAGAGGGCTGGAGAGATGGCCCAGCAATTAAAAACATTGGTTGTTCTTGCAGAAGACCCAGGTTCAACATAGGTGCACTTACCTACATGCAGGCAATACACGCAAACACATAAAATAAAAATAATAAACTTTAAAAAAAAATTTTTTTTAAAGAAGAATCATCAAGCCAGGGCACGAGACTTTGCTCCATTCCAGAAGCCTCTCTTAAAGTTCTTTCTTATCTGTAAGCTAAGAGCTAGATTAGAAATTCTAATATTATATATTGCTTTACAGTCACCTTTATTAATCATTTTCAGACTGGGCAAGGTGGTACATGTCTTTAATCCCAGCACTCGGGAGGCAGAGGCAGCCAAATTTCTGTGAGTTCAAGGCCAGCCTGGTCTACATAACAAGTTCTAGGTCAGTCTAGGCTACATAGTCAGACCGTGTCTCCAAAAAAAGAGAAAAATCATTTTTAGTAGACTAGAAAACAGCTTTACCTTTGGTGTTTAGACAGATATTAGTTATTTGTCTCATTGCTGTAACAAAAGCTACTTAAGAAGCTTTGGCTTCTTAAGGATGCAGTTCATCATGACAGAGAAGATAGCTCTGAGCTATAGAGGCAGGAGCATGAGACAGCAGGTCATAGTGCCTCCTCAGGAAAGAAAGCAATGAATGCTGGTGCTCGAAGACTTTCTCCTTTGTCTCTTTTTATTCAGTGTGGGACCCAAGCCCAGGGGATGCCATCCACATTCAGGGTAGGTCTTCGCTTATCAGTTAAACCTCTCCAGAAAGACTTTCACAGACATACCAAATGTGTCTCCTGGGTGATTCCAAATCCAGTCAAGTTGACAGTGAAGATTATACATCTGGTTTCAATTAATAAGGACTATTTATTATAAAAGGATTTTGTTTTTCCTCTGTCATTTACTTTTCAGGTTTTACTCACTGCCTATTCCCAAATTCATAGAGCTATGGATGTATAAGTAGATTTTGTTTTTCCCCTGCCTACCTGGTCAGCATCCTCTAAAATGTCAATGAATAGCACTTTAACTGTCATATCTCATTGTTCATGAAAAACAAAATCTTTTCAGGTTAGTGTTTTCAGATTGAAAACAATCTGGCCATTAAAGTATCCCATAAAATGAAATCATTCTAAGTGAGGAGGAAAGAGTGGCAAGTAGCTAGCTCTATCTTTAAATTAAGTAACACCTTGTGGCCAGCTGGCTTCCAAAAAGGAAGCTGCCATCCCCTCTTCTTTTTTTTCCTCCCCTTTCTCCCCCCTTGCCTCCACCCCCTCTTCCTCTTCCTCCTCCCCCCACCCTCCTTTCAGGGTCCTGGCGGTCACACCCAGGACCTCCTGCATGATCACATGAGCTACACTGCACAGCCCTCTACCTCCTCTGGGGAAGCCATGCTACTGATGGTTTTCTTTCATGGAGTGCTGTGAGCTCCAGTATAGACCTCCTCCATACTACTTTGTAATCAGTGCTGTAGGTACAGTTAGTACTCCGATTGAGAGTGTTGTTGACAGTGCTGTAAGCATTATCAGTACATAATCTTGTACAGATTTCTGAAGTGTAGTCAGTAGCCAGGTTTGTTTAAGCTTCCTACATGCATTTGAGCATGTGTGTTCACTTGGGGAAAGAAGACTAAGAAGTGCTGGAGAACTTGAGTCTGTCCAGCACTGATCTGTGGTAAAGACTGGGTTGTCAAAACAATGTAGACAGGACTGGGGGAGTAGGCACTTGCCTGGCACATGTGTGGCTCTGGGTTTGAGTGTAGCAACCCCAGAAAAATTAATATAGTCAAAAGGAAATAAAGTAACACTTTTCCTTTTTTTTTCCAAGGGTATATACTATGTTGTGGAGTTATCAAAAAAAAGGTGAACAGGCTATGAAGGCTCCATGTTAGTTTTTCCATATCTTTGTGTTTTTTCACAGTGCCCTTCATAGCTGCCATGACATAGTTTTACGAAGAAGCTACTTGGGGAGCTGGGGCTTTAGTATTGTTGGTGGGTATGAAGAGAACCACACCAATCAGCCTTTCTTCATTAAAACCATTGTCTTGGGAACTCCTGCTTACTATGATGGAAGATTGAAGTAAGTCCTGTTCTCATTAATGATATAGTTCATGTTTATTGTACTAGATATGACCTAACTCAGGGTTCAACCCCCAATCCTGCCTACTGTCTGTTTTTATAGTTTTAGTTTAACACAGCCATGCTCATTCCTTTGTATACTTACCATCTTTGGCTACACTATAGCTGTATTATCATGATAGAAACAACGTATGGGCCACAAAGCCTAAGATATTTACCATCTGACCCATCACAAAAACAAGACTGAACCTATTCCTTTTACCATTTTTGTTACTTATAACAAAACTATGTTAATCTAGTGACCAGAACTGAGCCAGAGTCATTTGACTGGGTACATTGTGGCTTGATTTCCATATACTCTGCTCAGGTACAGCCCTATCACTAGATAACTCCACTTTATTTTCCCCACAGGTCTCATGTCTACCTAACATTGTGTTCATATGAACTCTGTGAGGAAGGGGCTTTGTTGCATGATTTTTACACCCCTAGCAGCTGTAGCAGTGCCCCACATACAGTAAGGTCTCAATGAGTATTTATAATATTTACAACATGCCAAGCACAATGCTGAGGGCTATGTGTATATTATCTAATCTTCTAACAGCTTACTGTTCCTATTTGACCCATAAAATAACTAAGGCTTGAAAGGCTAAGTAACCTGCCTAGGATCAGACAGTTGACTGTGGTGGGCCTTATTCAAAGTTAGGCTCCAGAGCCCTGACCTCTATCCTGCTCCTACTGGGCAGAAGTCACTTGCTTAGCCAGTGGGCTGCCTCTTTCAAAAAGTTGAGGCCCTGAAAAGATAGAGGAGTCATGTTATAAAGTTACCATCAACAGAAAGGAGGTAGTTGATGTAAATTCTTAGTGTCTTGTTTTCGGCATTTTTGATGAAAGAACTAGTACTTTAAGAACAAATTTGAACATTCTAGATAGAATCTTTCACAAGGGACTGGAGAGATGCATACTGCTCTTTCAGAAGACCCACGTTACAGGTTCCCAGCACCCACATCATGCAGCTCACAGCCACTTATAACTCCAGTTTCAGGTGATCCAATGCCCTCTTCTAGTTTCCACAGGCACCCCATATGTGTGGGACAGACACACAAACACACAAAAATAAAAATCTTTTCAAAAATTCCTTTGCAAAGAGGAAGTGAAACCTAAACAATATGAACACTACAGATGGTCCTAAGTATACTACTGTAGCAAGTCTCCAGTGATAAAAATTTTTTTAATTATTTTAGGATATAAAAGTGAATTAATTGTTCTCTTAGCTAAGTTATCACCCAGGCTTAAGTTACTGTATTAATTTGTAAACCATCTTCCAAAAAAGAAATTGAAGTAGTTCAAAATAAAATAGCATATTCATTCATGTTGTAAAGACAAAAAAATTCTAAGAATAACCATGAAGATATGGTAAGGATAGGAAGGTCTTTGGGTTCATCATTCATTGGTGATCATTCTTCTTAGAAGACAATGTATATTGACAATTGAAAGAAGAGGAAATCTTCTTGAGCATATTATATGAACCCAGCACTTGGGAGGATAGGCAGGAGGATCACAAGTTCAAGGCCAGCCCAAGGCTATATAGCAGGATCCTGTCTCAAATAAATCAGAAGAGGAGGAGAAAGAATGGTTCTTACTGTCAATTTAATACAATCCTCAGATGTATGAGCTCTCAGAATGAATAGAGAAATAATAGTTTACAACAATACCATCCAAGAGTATTGTTCGGGTTTTGTTTGTTTGTTGACTGGTAAGTCTATCTTGCTTAAGCTAATTTGAAAGCTATTTTGCTGGTCCTTGAAATTACCTATCAGGTATGGGAAAGGTTGGCCCAGGGTTATGATGGGAAAGGAGAGCCAATGTAGTTTTAGAAGTTATTCCAGATGTTTAGCAAAAGGTTGATAATATACCTGAGTTCTTGATGGTTAACCAGTAAGCAAAATTGTGATTTTCATGCTAAACCATTGAGACAATGCTTGTGATGCCATTATAACACTCTCCTTTCATTTGTTTTGTTGCTGTTGTTCAGATGTGGAGATATGATCGTAGCCGTAAATGGCCTGTCAACTGTGGGCATGAGCCACTCTGCTCTGGTTCCCATGCTGAAAGAACAGAGGAACAAGGTTACTCTCACCGTCATTTGTTGGCCTGGCAGCCTCGTGTAGATTTTTCAAGCCTGTTTCCAGTTTCACTTCTTCCTTCAGAGACTATTGAAAGAAACTCCTTTGGTGTTACTGTTTCCACTTGTTGGGAGTTCCTGACACAGCTAGTAGACACAGGGCCAAAACCACTAAGATCACACTTTATGTTTCTTTAAATGGCTTCCTAACATTAGCTACATTTCCTTTAGCTTGGAAATAGTCTTCCACTAATGCTGACATTTATTTTCAGAATGCACTCTCAGTGGTCACAGTGTTAGCTGTAGTAATGGACGAAGCCTACCCAAACTGTGACCCAGCACGATTAAAGTGGTGGTTCTTTGTTTTCAGTAACTCAGTCATAAAATGAGTTATATTTCTAACACTGGTATCAGGACAGCCACTAACAGCAGCATTTACTGCCACTGCAGCAAACACTGCTGCAGATAGATCAGTTTTCGGTTTGGGTGGTGACCATTGCTCATTTTCATTGGTGCCAACATTTCAAAACTTTATATTGTTTATAAAGCAATTTTCTAGTTTGTTTCTACTTTAATCTTCAGTTCTTAGATGAAGACATAAATCTGACACCACTAAAGAGATTTCTTTTTAAATATGTGCTGTTATTAGAATAATAAAGAATAAAAAATGTTATTCAGGGATGAAGGAGCCTGGCAGATAATTATAGTCTAGAGCTGGAGCTGGTAAAGCTTGCATTTATTGGAACGGCCCAGAAGCACAAAAGATTAGTCTCCAAAGACATGCTTTGCTACATAGGAAAAGTTTAGAGATGTTTTTGCAAAAAATCATTTCTAGAGTTTATACTTATCTGCAAACTTGTCTGGAAATGTTTTTGTGATTTATGCAATTAAACTAGATGATAAAAACCATTATTGCTATTAAATACACACACGTCACAGCTAAACAGAAGGGAACCCTTTTTATTTTGTTTAGAAAGGAACCTTTCCTGAGTGCTTTAGAAACCCTTAGTTTTCCCTTTGTTTCTTCTGAATTTGTTTCAAGTAAGAGACCAAAAAGCTCTGACTTTTTTTTTAATCTGAAATAATAGGTTTTAGGTGTTAATATCTTTTAGCTGTTGGTCATTAATCTGTTTCATATTTTTGAAATGTTTTGAGCTGTTTGTCTTTGGTGCAGCCCCGTTGTCTGTTAGAGGGCATATAAGGAAGTGAATAAGAGAAAAATATCTTTACCTGATTCATATTTATACTTGAAAAAAGTTTCATTTAGCAACCTAGTTCAAAATCTGAGCTAATTTCCAAGTGACCTCTGTGATAAATGGTATTGATAATCAGAGAACATGTTTAATACTACCAGATGCTAGGAGGCATGGCCACTTGGCTTTCAAGTTTAGCTGTCCCAGCACTGGAGTTGTTATATCTATAACAGATCACTGATTATTCCAGTTAATTTTATAATGATTTTTTTTAAATAAATTTCTTTTTAATAAGATTGGCAACCATAGTTGCTACTGACTTAGCTACACTGATGGTCACCATGTAGCTGGGCTACGGTGGGATACCCCATACAGTATATTACTGTTATGTGGTGATTGGCCTTTGAAGCAACTTGATATTGAAGTGCTTTGATATTACAATTCCTCCTGCTCCCCAAACAGAATTTTGTAACCAACTTTTCTACTTTTTAAAGACTTTGTAATATGTCATTTCTTTGGGGAGTAGCCATCCATCCATCAGCAAATACCATAACTGCCACTTTGTTGTATATAAAAATACATCGAACCTGGTGGTCTGATGAATACTTTGAAAAAAAAGTTTTTTCAATATTATTTTTCTCATAAAAATTCTGAATTCGCTTAGCTATAGAGTTGTGAGAAAGAATTATAAGCTTTTTGTTGGGATGATATTTGATGATGGAAACTTATTCATAATTTACTATTGGATTTTTCTCATTTAAGCTCTTACAATTGAATATTTTGATTTGTTCTGTGCCTTCAGTTTAAATTATTTCAGGAATTTTCAGATGTATTTAAATAATGATGTCATAATCATTCAGGATGGAAATAAATGTCATCCTTTCCAGAATAGCAGCACTGTCTTTTGTTGAACGGCAGGTGAGAACTCAGCCTGAGAGCCTTATTTGTGTTCCCAGACCCACTGTCCTTCTCACCTACTGCACTTGAGCCCTCGGGATCACAGACCCACCATCTTGTTCTTGTTCCTGCAGAGAGAACACACACAGTGAGCCTGCAGTGGTGTGCACATTTAATGTCCACAGTACTGTTGGTCCTGCATTGCTAGTATGTGTGGCTGTTGAATCTGAAACGTGGCCAAATGCTGTGCTCTGAAATGACATAACTTGGATGTGTTGGGTTGTAATAGAATACACTGTTAAGATTACTTTCACCAGTTGCTTTTTTTTTTAATGTGATTACTAGAAAACTTTAAATCCTTAAGTAGCTCTTCCTCCTCACAGCATTTGCCGAATCAAGCAGTCCTCCAGCTTTGATCAATCCTGCATTAAATAATGAAATTATCAAAAAAAAATGAAAATAAATTGCCTCTTGCAAGGTCTCTGGGTCTGACCCTAATCTGACTTTCCAGTTGTTCTCTTGGTGCCACACACCCTCTACTCCTCAGACCCCAGATTCAGCTGGTGTTTCCTCAGACTGTAAGCCTTTCCCTTCCCTGCAAGTTCCCATTGCTCCCATATTGGTGGCCTGACTTGCACACTGGCTCCACTGGAGCGCATGCTCCTCCACCTGCATTTACTCTGGCCCCATCATTTGCTCCCTAATTGCAGAATTTTCAGTACTATCTTCGATGGCCACTTGGCAGGTTTTCATACTGATGCTCTGAGTCCATAGCTCCCTCTGTCAGTGGGCTGAGTATCCTGCTCCACCTCCAAAACTAAAATCTGCTTTCTGAAGCATTTGCCTCACTCCACTCCCTTTCTCCAGCCCCAAATCTTAAACCGTCAGGCGTACTTTCTGAAACCCCATCTCTGCACATACTGTTGTCCTTTTTAAAAATCTTAACTGGGCCACTGAGCTGGCTCAGTAGGTAAAAGCTCTTGCTGTATAAGCCTAATAAACACCTGAGATTGATCCCCAGAACCCATAGAAGAAGGAATGAACCAACCCCCCCAAAAGTTGTCCTCTGGTCTACACACACACACACACACACACACACACCTGTCATATACACACCATACACACACCATGCACACATATAATAATAATAAAATTAAATTTTAAAGAGGTACTGTAACTGAGAATGTAAGTCAGTGGTGGAGCACGTGTCTTCTAGCATGTGTGAAGACCCAGGTTCAGTCTCCAGCACTTCTATGGGTTTTTTTTAATGTGATTCCACATTATCCATAGGATAAAGTAAAAATGACTTGGTGACACACAAGACTCTGATCTGGCACTGCCGTTTTGTTTCTCAAACTCTCTCTTACTTAGTACATGTTCTTATTAAATTTCTGTTGCTTGATAAACCACTTTAACTAAAAGCAACTCAGAAGAGGAAGAAGTTTATTTGGTTACACTTCTGGGTAACAGTCCACCACTGAGGAGCATCAGGGCAGAAACCATGGAGGAATGCTGCCTGCCAGCTTGCTCACAGGCACATGCTTAGCTAGCTTTCTTATGTAGCCCAGGATCACCTGCCCAGGAATGGTGCTGTCCACAATGGACCAGGCCCTCCTTCATCAACTAATAATCAAGACAATCCCCCACAGACATCCAGCAGGCCAATTTGATCTGGGAAATCCCTCAATTGAAATTTCCTCAGGTGACTCTTGGCTGTGTCAAGTTGACAATTAAAGCTAACTAGGATAGTACATAAACCATCCTATCCCACCCATATATCCCTAGCCCTTCTCTTTCTATAGGAATTGGCTTGGCTCAAGTAGTGTCTTTATGGGAAATCTTTACCAATCTCTTTGTAAGTTTTTTTAAATATATTTAATAGTCATAACTATACAAGGAAGACAAGTTTGCTAGGTCATTGCTTGATTGCTCCAGCTGTAATCATTTTCTTTTATGTATATGAGGGTTTTGCAAACACGTAAGTGCTCCTATATGCACAATGCCCGTGGAGGTTAGAAGGGGATGTCACATCCCCTGGACCTGAATCTATAGAAGGTTGATAGCCACCATGTGGGTGCTGGGAATTGAACCCAGATCCTCTGCAAGAGCAGCCAGTGCTCTTAACCTCTGAGCCATCTCTCCAGCCCCTCCTTGGTCTTTTGTTTTGTTTTGTTTTGTTTTGTTTTGTTTTGTTTTGCTGTGTCACCGCTTCCCTTACCCAGGTTTGAAGATGCTGGTCAGGAAACATCCTATTAGGGTTTACTGTTTTATCTAATGGTTATTAGACTGGTGTGTAAGTTTTAGGTAGCAAGAGTGCAGGAAAACGTGTTGTCCTCATGTCAAGGACTCATACTGTCCAACACTTGTCTTTGTCAAACTGAAAGGGTGAATGGTACCTGGCTGTAGCTTCATTTTGCACTTCCTCAGTTACTGGTGAAGTCATGCATTTTATCACATAGTCATTGTCTCAGAGCAACCTGTTGAACAGTTTCTTCATGGACCATTTGTGTTTCTCTTCTTGCTTTATAGAAATCGTGGATATTATGCTTAAGGGACTATATGTGGTACAAATATCTTGTCCCAATTTGTGACTTCTCTTTTCCACTTCTAAATGATCAACTAAAGTTCCTCATTATTAATATTAACAAATGTATAAAGAGCACATAAGGAGATCCATTTCGTCTGCTTTTAGAATTTCTTCATCCTTTCAGGGGTTGTCCACTTAAAGTCTCCTTCTGCGTAGCGTGAGGGTATTTAAACTCCACTAACTTCAGACATACCACAGTGTAGCTTCACTGTTGGGGTTCCTCCTTATTCCGTTCTTCAGCTATTAGAATTCTGTTCTACAATTAAGATTTGGTTAGACTTTTGTTTCCAAACTATAAACTGAAAACTGACCCAGTAACATTCCACAAAGACTCATGAGGGGCTGAGGAGATGGCTCAGAAGTTACAAACACTCGCTGCTGTTGCAGAGGACCCAGATTCGATACCCAGCACTGACATGGTGGCTAACAACTGTCCATGTTACTCCACAATTTCCAGGGCAATTTGATGTCCTCTTCTGGTGTCCATGGGCATTGCATGACACGGGCACACTTACATACATGCAGGCAATAACTCATACACATAAAAATAAAATAGTAATAAAATAAAACAAATGGGGACTGAAGAGATGGCTCAGTGGTTAAGAGCACTGGCTGCTCTTGAAAAGGACCAGAGTTCAAATCCTAGCACCCACATGGCGGCTAACAACCATCCATAACTCCAGTTCCAGGGGATCTGATGCCCTCTTCTGACCTCTGTGGGTGTTGCATGGCATGGGTGCCTTTACAGCATGCAGGCAATACACTCACACACATAAAATCATAAAAATAAATATTAAAATGGGTGGGAAATAAAAGGTGGCAGTAGAATTGCTGATAGCAACCTGGGAGTTGACAATGCAGTCCAGCCCTAAGGAGCAGTTTTATAAAAGCTTGGGATACAGTGACATCCTCACCGTGTTAGTTTTCCAGCAGTCAGAGAAGAGCAGTCGAGTGCCATCACCAACTTCTTTCGGTGGGGATGAGGGTAGGGTCTAGGGGTTGAGACAGGGTGTCCCTGTAACCCTAGCTGGCCTGGAACTCACTATGTAGACCACACTGGTTTTGATCTTGCAGAGATACACCTGTCTCTGCCTCCCAAGTGCTGGGATTAAAGGTGTGTGCCACTACAGCTAGAACATCAACTTTTCTAGAGCAAGTATAAAGTGCACTGTACATCCAGAGAAATGTTTCAGAGGAAGAATTGGAAGACAGGTGTCTTAATTATCTTATAAAAGAAAGATAAATCCAGCTGGAGAGATGGCTCAGGGATTAAGAGCACTGACAGCTCTTGCAGAGGACCCGGGTTCGATTCCCAACACCCATTTGGTGGCTACGAACCATCCTTAACTTCAGTTCCAGGGGAATCCAAAGTCCTCTTCTGACCTCCGCAGCATTGCACAATATGGGTGCACTCACATATATGCAGGCAATACACTCATAAAAATAACAATTTTTTAAAGTGAGATATCAACTTACAAAGAGGTAAGGTTGGTTTGGGGCCCACAGTCTTGGAGTTTTGAGACCATAGTTGGTGGGGCTGCTGTTTTGGGCCTGTGTCAAAGCAGCATGTATGGTCAGGAAGCTTGTGCTGGCACAAGGCTGCTCACCTCATGGCATACCCAGAAGATAGAATGAGAAGAAGACCAAAGTGCCTCAATCTTCAAGGGCCTGCTCCCTGCTCACCTAAAGCTTCCCACTAGGCCCTACTGAAAGATTCCACTACCTCCCTGCAGCACCAGATACTGGGCACCAAGCCTCTAAAGGATACAAGGGCCTCTGGGGACACTTAGCCAAACCATAGCAGCCAATTTAGAGGGTTTAATTTTCTCAGAACACTGTGCAGTGTGACTAGGTTTTCAAATAGCAGAATCCTCCCTCTGCTCAAGCTGTTAGTCTTTTCTCAACATCGCTAATTGTGGAACTTTAGATTCCAGTCCTTTGTAGTATAGAGCAGGCTATAGCACTGTAATCCCTCAGATGTTTGAAGCTTTAACCAGAGAAATGGATGGTAGAAATTAAATTTGAAGTTAGCACACCTGAATTTCAACCACAAAAGTTATTCTCTTTCGTCATGCCAGGCATCCGCATTACGATTCAGTAATGCCCCATTCAGATTTAGCTAGTTTGTAATTTGAAAAGCTTAAACATATTTGAAGCAGTATCTTTTTAAAACGACGTATTTGTATTTGTGTGTGTACCTGTATGTGCCTGCAGAGACCAGAAGAGGGTATTGAATCTCTGGGAGCTAAAGTTATACATGGTTGTAAGCTGCGTGATGTGGGTGTTGGGAATTGAACTCTTTCTCTGCAAGAGCAGCAGATACTCTTAGCCACTGAGCTCTCTCCAGCTTGCAATAAGTATCTTAAATCAACACTGGAAAATGGAAGGTGGCATAGCTCTTGAAT